CAGTATCACCAGTATCACCAGTTTCACAAGTATCACCTAGTTTTACCAGTTTCACCAGTTTCAACAGTATCACCTAGTTTCACTAGTTTCACCAAATCACTTTTTAAATTTTATCAGTTTCATCAGTTTTAACTGATGAAATTAATTAGTTTCATCTACAACACTAGTATAGACTATATTAAGTTAGAATATAGGTGCTAAAAACTTTTATTTAATAGCTCAAAGCTAGTTTTTATAATAAAATTTTACTATATTAATAATTTTTTAATTTTTTTTTAAAAAAATTTCATTATTTTGTTATACAAAATTCTGCAATCTAATTGATAAATTATAGATTAGTTAATGTAAGCAGAAGGCAAGTTAGCAACACTTTCTTTTTATATATTTAATAATTATTATATAGAAAATTTTTATAGTTTAATTAGATATCAAGTATAATTATCTAATACTGTAAAGCAAATTATTCAAAAAACACAAATAATAAATCTAATATATAATAACAATATTTTTGCTAAAGATTTTTTTAAAAATTACAATATCAGATATTTAATAAAGCAACTAAAATTTTTTGTTTCTTTTAGCAATCCTGTTTACATATTATGGAAACAGACTTTCATTTCTACATGACATAAGAAATCTAAATCTAAACTCATCTACAGCATACTTCGCAGATGCTGTAACATCCACTTGCAGTCAAGACGAACCATTAAACCACTGTGTTTTGCTCAGATGTGACCTGCCTAGTAAACGATTGGCCTCTTCCAGAGATCCAGAACTTACTCTGAACTTATTTTTTTTAAATTCTTTGGCTGGCTGTTATGCTGCCCATTGCCTTACAATAGAATGCCACCAAACTAATGACACTTTCTTATAGTGAAGGAAAAAAAAAAAGAGATAATGAAAAATGAAAAAAAGAGATAAAAAATAAAACTAATACATTAAAGAAAACAGATACTAATACTAAAAAATATAAAAAAAATAAACTAAAACCTAAAAGAAACTATTGCTAAAAAGAAGAAAACCTGCTAACTAGGCAAGAACTTCTAATTACACAGAGTCACGATTAACTATTAAGTATGAGAGTCTTGATAAGAAATTTAAAACTAAAATAAAATGCACTATAACTCATATTAGAGGCTAAAAATTATATACAGGTGACTAGAAGATGTCTGTATATCTCTTTTCACTTTGCTTTACTCTTTCAATTAAATTCATATCTTCATTTGAAAGTATAAGAATTTTGGAATCTCCATGTGCTCTATCCAATGATCACGTGTTTGTATGTCCTTAACAACACGACACGTAAGGTATTCTTCTGAACACTTATCTAGTTACTAAATTCGCCAGCACCAACTATTTTACATATATTGTTGTCATCATACAGATTTTCTTGATATGGAAGTGGTAAATATTGCTGATCTTTTGGAGGGGGTATGCCAAATTCCCCACTTTTTGTTAAAAATTATGGCCAAAAGTATCGAAGAGAGAAAAGTATTGTATTTGCGAGAGCTCAAGACAAAGAAGGTGTTTCCAGTTGTTTATCATAGAACTAAAAAGCTTCAGACACTTGAGTCAGAAGTTTTTCACCACTACTGTTACCAAAATAACCCTTTTGGCTTAGATGCCGAACGTGCAAGAGAGTCTACCCAGAAGTAAAGCTTGACCCAAAGCATAAACCAACTATATACGTCCTGCTTCTCAGTGTTTTACGTATAAGTCTTCATCGACAACAGTACCAATAAGAAACCTCAGATATCTTCAGACATCTTAGAGCCTTGAATCTTCAAACTGTTTTGGTCCGGTCTTGGTTCAAGTGATCATCAGAAAGAGTTATTAATCGTTTACATATTTGTATTTTTTATGTAATCCTGATACTATTATCTTGAAATAGAAGCTTTTGAATAAGTTAAATTCAAGGAACTAAAATAATTAAAACCTATTTGGCAAGATCCGAGCAAGAAGATAATCATTAATGATACTATAAAAAGCTAAAACTAGAAACTGAAGAACTAGACAAAAACCTTGGGCCAAAAAGGATTCACAAACCTGACTATTAGAGTCATATTGAAAAAAAGCTTTATACTATAAAATTAAAACCAAGAAAAATAAAACTGAAATGTATTTAAAGCCTAGATATAACAATTCATTTAAACTAACTAGTTTGGTAGTTAGGGAGGAATCAGTATAAAGACTGGTTTGATGTAGATATTAGAATTAGAATAAATCTTATAAAGATATAAATATTAAATTATATAGTTTAACAGTTAGTCTTAACTGTTAATAGTGGTTTTAGCTGCTATAGAAAGTATTTGAAGTCTAATCTGAAAATACATAAAATATAGAAAGATTAGAGATATATATATTATATCTTCTTTAAGATAATTTGATAATATGAAAACTCTATTAGATTATCTATAGAATTAGAATATAAGTAGTATAGTATATATCAATTTGGGTAGCTTTTAATTGAAGCAGCACAAGGTTATATATTGGTGTGATTGTAGTAGTAATACAAAATAGAGGATATTAGAGGTTTTAAATAGATATCATAAATCTGTAAAATAACATATATTTGCACATTATTTTGAACATCTGTGCATTATTTTAGATATATTTATGTGTATTATTTCAAAAAAATATTAATATTCTAAGCTATATCATATATTTGTTTATGTATAGAGTTAATAGTCTATTTTGATATATAAGATGTATACTATTTCAGAATATGTGTAAACATTATTTTAAAACTAGGTACAGTCATCTCTCTCTATAATCATATAGTTGAATACATGCCAATATAGTGATTATAAAGAGGTATGATTATATAAAATTTACCTCTATACAAGCATAATTTATATTAATAAAATATATAATGATTTAATAGAGATAAAAAATCTATACTATATTATTATAAAATAATATTCTTGAATATTATTTTAAATATACAATATATATGTACTGGTATATAGTACTAATTATTTCACCAACAATCACTTCATAGACATTACATTTCATCGACAAAATAATTCTGGTCATTATTGTTAGAACTAGTTTTGAATTAGAATTAAAGTTAGTACAATTTATAAAAAAAAACTTGATAGTAAAATAAGCTTCAGTGAAATAATTTGTAAACTTGTTGTTAAATAATTGTTAGTGAAATGTAGTATCTATTAAGTAATTGTGGTGAAATAATATAGATTTCTGACAAATATCTATATAAAAAAAAATTTACTATACCTGAACAAGTGTTAAAAATTTTGCATAAATATGCTGCATAGAAAAATTTTTATTTTTTATTTTTTATTTTTTGCGCATATTGCATAGTTAATTGTTTATTTTGTGCAGATAACAATATATGCACAATGAATTTATAATATTGCTTTAGGCTTCATCTCAGAATGTATTGAATTTAGGGCATTTTAGTTCATGTATATTTTGAACACTAATTTTAAACTCTATTAGTACTCTAAAATAGTTGTCTGGATAGTTGATCTGGTCAGTTCATAATTGACCAGAACAAAATCTAGGTTTTACTAACTATATAGTTAATTTTTACTGCTAATACTAAAAAATTTTATTTATTTTTAATTTGATACTTTTTAATTACAATTAATTTATGCTATTCTTTGACATCTTACAATTTATATAAAATTTTATTCTCACCAAGAATTTATTTATATAGACATATCATAAACAAACAGTATCTGTTTAAGGACTATTTCTTTTAATATCAATTAAGCTTCATCAGAAAATATCTGTTTTACTAGAACTAATTATATGATATTCCTAGCCTTTATTAAATAATGTATTTTTAAGCTTGGTTTAAAATTTGAGTTTGTTTTATATCATTCAGATCAATTTCTTATGGAGTGCTTAATTTAAATAATCATAGTATAAAATTTGGTAGTTTTATAATTACTGTTCAACCTGGTTGTAAGATCAGTATGCCTAAAACAAAAATGAAAATAACTTTGTATAGTGTTAAAAGTTATTATGTAAAAAGTTCTTGGTGTAAAATTTAGCCATATTCTTTAATTAGCTATTTTAAAAGTCAATATACATTTAGGTTAATATCGAGATCAACATTATGAATGATCATGACTTAGGGAGGGACAGAAATCAGCTGATTTTTTAGGAGGGTGGGGGTATAACCTCTTAGTAACTTGAAATCACCTGATTTCTGTCCCTCCCCTTAGTAAGAATTGGCTTTTTAAAAACTGTATAAATTTAAATTTTCACTTTTGCTATATTAGTTAATAAATATAATTGATCGAATACTGAAAAGTTAAAGCTAATTCTGGAATAGCATTAAACTAAAACTAGTCTACTAAGACTAATCTTATTTAGAGTATAAAGAATTTGATATGAAAAGTTGTCTTTACATTTATTACATGTTATTGTGATTTTTTGATCATGCTAATATTTTGATGCAACTAATAAAAACTAAAGAATTTGATACTTTGAACAACATATTGATATTAAATTTTTTTAATATCAAACAAACAATAGCCTTAATTTTTTTTAAAAAATCTCAACTTGTTTATGGGTTCTGGTCACAGTATTTTAAAATTGAAATTAGGTATGAATTTAATACCAATTATAGGGAATCACTATTGTATAAAAGGTTAAAATTTTACCTTTAAAATTTTATCTTTATTCCTTCTCTTATTTCAAACTAGTTAGATAAAACTACAAAAACATGAAATTTTATGAATTGTAGAAGAAAAATATTTAATATCTCAAGCATATACATTTAAGTGATTATTTTTGAATCTGAACTGATTTTATACTTATTTTGATACCTAAATTCTATATATGATTAAATTTCAAAATCTTCTTCATTATCTAAAAGCTTAAAAAAATCACTAATAGATGTTTGCCATTTAGATTCAATATAATCAGTAGTAAGTATTTTCTAAAAATTTTAAGATCCTTAGCTTTGAAACCTATATCAGCTTGTTGTTTAAAATAATTAATAAACTAATTTAAACTTTTTAAATCCTTTGAAGCAGAAATTTCCGATTTTTCTTCATTTGTATCTTCAAGATTACTATTTTTATCTTTATTTGCTTTATCCAAAATTATTTTAATAATTTCAGAATCTTTAAGCTTTTCTTTTGTTAGAATATATGAATTGTTGAGATCTAAATATATATTCAATTGGTGCTTAATTTCTGAATCTGAATCTTGAGAGGTTAAATCCACCACCAACATATTAACATCCTCCTCTTGCTGCTTTAATGATATATTGTGACTACTAACAGCAACTTCTATTTCTTTAAAAGAAACTGACAGCAAAATTTTAGTCTTTTTCTAACAATTAATAATCACCAAATCTTCAATCTCGTCTCAAGACTCAGATACGTAGTAGATAGCATAGTTGATATTTATCTTTTTTCTAATTAAAAATTAGAAGCAGAATTAGTAACAAAAATTTTTTAAATTGATAGAGCTATATGAAATTAACAGTTTGTTCTTATAATAGAGGGCTTCAAAATTAAAATGCAAAAATCTAATTTTAATTGAAATTGATTACAGATTTAATTTCAAATAAGCGATGTATCAACATTATTTCATTTTTTGATAAATTTAAAATGATGATTTTTGTCAGTGAAAGTTTATTTGTTTTATTAAATTGGAATCTCCAGATACTCTCATTTCAATTTCTAATTTTAAAATTTTGAAATACAAATAAAAGTTTTCAAACTCTTATTTAATTTCAAAATGTACCACTTATTTGTTAACTTTGAAACCTCTTAATATTTGAATTTTATCTGCAAATCTAACTTTTATTATTTAGCTATAAAAAAATTTAATAAATAAAGACTTCATAGTAAAAGGTGATGATCGAGTAGCCTTTTGCTATAAAACCCTAAATAATAAAAATTTTTCTCAAAGATTTGCAAAAATTAACTCTATCACATTATAAAAACTAACTAAACAATTTTGTATAGCCTAATTTACTTTTTAAAATATTCATTTTTTTAAACTGTATTAATATATATTTAATATATTTTCGCTTATATTTAGACTTAAAGCTTTGAATAATACCTGCATCTATTGGTTAAAGATGAGTAGTGATGTTTTTTGGTAAAAATTTAAGTTTGATGTTAGTTAATAGCATATTTGAGTAATCAGATATAGTATGTGGATACCCATAACTACTTTTATAGCAGCCCATACTATCACCAATACTATAGCTACTATAACGATTATTGCTATTACTTGTACTTCAATTGGTTCTGGTTAGTTTTGGTCAGCCACAAAGTCAACTTTGAGGTGGATTTCAAGATTAACTTTGATGATTTCTATATAAAACAGTCAATATTTCAGGTTCTAAATTATTATTATTAACAGATATTTCTTTATCTAAGTTAGAAGTTGACTCACCCAAATCACGTAAACTATCCATATTAGGTTGATTGTGAAAATGCAAAGAGGCATTATCTATTAGTAACAAAATTTGATGATTTTGAATGCAAAATATTTGATTTATATTTTTTAACTATTCAGAAAATATATCATTTTGTATCCATGCTCTGGAATTTGCCTGATAAGCAATAGGCAAAGAATTATAATTGACACAAAAAAGTGCACAAAGAGAAATTGAAGACCTGATTACTAATGGCTTTAATTTTTCAGTACTGGTTGCATTATATGCTAGCATAATAGTGATCTGTAAATGATCTTTAATTATAAAAAAAAAAAAAAAAATTAATGAAGTAAAGAAATTCTATTTTAACTATGCTATTTTTTTTTTTAACTTTGGCAGTCTTGTCAGTGATTCTTTATTAAGATTGTCTTGTTACAGGCATGACAAAATTAATATTTAGGCCTGACATCCTGTAGTTATTTCTAAGAGCATTTTCAAGCAACCTGCCACACTAGGCAGATAAATCTACAAGAGACATATCATGGTAAATCTGAATACCACCTATTCTAGAAAGCCATATCAGACTACTGCTCTACAATAGAATATCACCAATCTGATGACATCTTCTTATAGAGAAGTGAAAAAAGAAAAAAATACTAATACTAATACTAAAAAGGAGGAAAGAGTAAGAACGAAAGAAAAAAATCTGATAATTATAATTATAAGCCTGTGTCAGACTAACAAAAATTACATATTACAAGATAAAAAAGCTCTGTATCTAACTCTATCCTAATAATATATCTAATCCACTCTAGAAAAAAAAAGAAAAAATAGTAGATTTAAATTAGACTAGACAGAGTAGTTAAAAAAAAATACTAATAGTCTTGAAGTATTGTTTAAACAGTTTCTTTTGGTTGAAACACATTATCTAATTGTATTGTCTTTCAGATGTATTTGGTTGCTTAATCCGAATACCCATCAATTCGTGTTTACTAAAAGTAAACAACCTGTTTTAGGAAGCCAACCTGTTTTAAGTTAGGTAAACAATACTGACTGTTTTGGAGATTTACATGTTGATCTTTTGGAGGGGTAAGCTAAGACACCCACTTTTTGCCAAAATTTTCTTGAAAAAAGTGGTGGGCCAACGAAACTTTGTGAGTTCTTCCTTGTAAGTTTTATGGTTGTATAGATACTATCTCTAGATTTTTAATGTACTAATGTCAACCTAGTCATTCTGTGTTCCCAGAATACCCTTCTGGTTTGAATGCCGAATATAATAGAGAAGTCCACTTAGCAGAGAAGTTTGACCTCTACAAAAACTATACAAAGTAGTCCGCTTCTTGGTTTTACACTCTTAGTACTTCATCGACAACCTACTTGTATAAAACCAAATATATTATCACCCTTTAATATTTTTTATAACGTTAACTATAGTTCAGGGGTTTTTTTTTTGGTTTTAAGGTGACCTCTTGGTTGCTGTTCTTTTATTCGATTATTATTAACTTTTACAGTATAGTATACACTATACTATATACACCATACCATATACATATTTGGAGAGTACAACTAGCTATATGTGCAACTTTGGTTGCCTATTTAAATAGTTCCTTATTACTAAGTTCTACACTAGCTGCCGTACCTATAACTCTATTGAGTTATCTATTTAAACTCTCTGCTGTACATTAATCCTCTAACCGAGCGAAAGTATATTAGTACCCCCTTATTTTCGGATTTCTGACTTAGGACTTTAAGACAGACCCACCTATAGAGATCTTTTGTCTTTGAGGTAAACCTGCTAGAGCTTTTCATATCTACAATCCGGCCAACCTAGACTTCAGTAACTTACACCAAGTCTGAGGACAAGTATTTGTGAGCCGAAGCCGCTACTATTACCTATTTCTGCTCTTGTAGAGTTCACCCAAACCCAGCATACACTTTACGGACTAGCATCAACTTTTCTTCACCAACAGCGTCTCAAACTACCAATCTAGATAGCCTGGTGAAAGATCAGTAGGCATCCCTTTGGTATTCTAATTGAATTCTTTTTCTTCATCTATACAGAGCTATCTTGGTATATATGCAGTCTGGTTGGTATTAGTGTCTTGCCAAACACCTGGTCCTCGTCTAGTTTATTGCTAATGTCTGATTACTGATGATCATTCTTTATGTAGTACTGTCAAAAATTTGTGCTACCTCTCTACTCGGAACTTGCCAAGCAGGATTCCGTATGCTCTAGCCCTTAGATTTATATAAACGTTTCACTCAGATTTCATGTAACTCTTGCATCACACTATAGTTCCACATTCTTCCAGTACAAGCTGGTACGACCAAAGCTACAGATCCGATAATCTATCAGATTATACACAGTCTATCATAACACATTTCTTAAATTCAAATTTTGTCACCAGTGAGATTCGAACTCTTGTCCTGCCACTTAGAGGTCCGACAACTTACCAACTTCACTAAGTTGCCACACCCTAGTTTTTGGAATTGTTGACCAGAAGATCGTCAGAAAAAGTTATGAGACACTGAGTAAAATTTTTTTGTTTAACTGTGTTATTAAAGTTACCTAATATTGTTAATTATAACTATATTAGAGATTGTATGTACATATATATATATCTAAAGATAGACATATCATTGTATAGTGCTTAGTTATCACATATTAATAATGCCTATTTCTAATTGTACTTATTGAACAAATCTTTACCCAGTATGTATTATTAAATTATCTAATTATTCAGGTAATTTATTAAGTTTATATAATAACAATTCCTATTCGGATATGCAAAATCTCTAGATAAAACATACAGTATTTACATATATATATATATATATATATGCATATTTATAGCTTATTGGATGATTTTAATCTTGATAAAAATAGAATCCTTAAAATAATTATTAAATATAATTGTAATTTTATATTAAACAAACTATTTTAAATCTAAGTTTTGATTGAGATACAAGTATTTGGTCCGATGATATATAAAAAAAGAGCACTGTCTCATCTGTATTGAACATATTGTTCAAGATATATTTTTCAATTAATTCACACAGTTTTTGACTATATTCTAGAAGCAAAGACAATGGTGCACTTTTTGCTTCTCTATATAACTGAAAATTCTTAAGATTATTGTGCTGTTTAAACCTATGAATCTATCTATTTAAAAATTTCAAAGCATCATCTTCTAAATTTAAGGCTTTTGCAAAATCAACTACCTTTTTTTTAATCATTAACTCTGTTAAGATCATGTTTCTAGTGATAACTTGTTCAACCCAGAAGTGCATAGCCTGATCTAATAAAGAATATTTTACTTGTTTATATTAAAAAATTGTAGAACTTAACTGATTATCTGTAACAGCTAACCATTTTGATTTATTATTTAAAATTTTAGAAATTGTAGACTGATCTAAATTTAAGCTGAATTTTGGAAATTGAAATGTTTTGCAATATCTATTTGTTTTTTATTAGGGTTTTTTTGACTATACTTATATATTTCTCGCTTTAAAAATTCACTAACAGCTGTTCTTGATCTTTTTTGTAACAAATTTTTAGACATTTTGCATAATTTCACAAGTATGATTAGATATAATCATTTAGCAAAATAAGTGGTATTTGAAACCAATATTTCTATTATTTATTAAACAGTTAACTTTTATATTTAAATACAATAACAAAAAATCTTATCTGCTGATCTTTGAACATATATATAACTATTAGATTTAAAATTTAAAAAAAAATTATTTGGTATCATTCATATGCATAAAGCTTTTAGGATAGTAATAGCTTTTCGATACTTAATTCACAACAAACATTCTCTCTTCCAACATGTTTTTATGTTTTATAATTAAATCTTATTATTTAATGAAATATTTTAATACATAATATATATATACAGGGACAATTTAGATCAAATTACAGATTTTATACAAGAAAAAATGATTTAGATCTTAAGTTCATACAATAAGTATAAAAAGACTTGAACCTAAAATTTATATAGTTTTTATAAAAATATTATTGAATGTTTCTTTTGATTTTCATATAATTTACATTTAATTAAATGATATTACTATATTTTTTTGTATAAGATATGTAATAATAACAATATTATAGAACTTAACTATTTTATAACTTAAAAATTATAAGATTTTTTAAGATATCGTTTAGATTATTTTAGTGCTTATGTAATATTTTTAAAAATTATTTCAAAGCAGTTTGATACAAGTTTTTGTTGTACATGCTTGTGAAGATTGATTGTCATTAATCTAATTAGATTTGATAATATATCGATTAACAAATATAGAATATAATTATGTTTTAAGAGTTTTCTTTACTATAGTAAAAGTTCTATTCAGTCCTATTAGATTTTGTTTGATTTTGCTTTATAGAAGCCTGAGTTTGAAAATAGCTCAAAACTAAGCTTGAATTCCAAACTTAAATTTCAAACTTATTTTTAATTGGCTTTGTAAGTATGCATATCTCTATTATTTTGGTATTAGTACAATAAAGATAATACTATTATAGAATAAAATCTAAGTCCCAAAAAAATGAGCAATTGTTTGAGGCCTAGATCCTTAAAATAATTTTTTAGAACCTTATTTTGAATAGTGATTTTGAACTAGAAATTACTGTAATTTGTATAATTAAGATTGCAAAAAGAAAACTAAATTTTATTATTTTAAAAATATAATTTATTAGGTCTAATTCTTGAAAAATCTGAACATATGGGGTGCCTCATATTAAAAAGGTCCATTTTAACATATAGTTTATTTTGAGATAATTGAGTATAAACGTTTGTTTGATTTTCAGACTGATCTGGGATTAAGTAAATTTTACAATTTTGATTGGTTAAAGGTAGCAGGTGACTATCAGGTAATCTCGTAATGTGCCTAACCTTTAGCAGCATCGTGTAATTTTTCTTTTACATTATCTCCATTTTTTATTATGCAAATCGACCTTCATTTATAATTAAAAAATATCAATCACATCAAAATTTATATGAATCTAATAAAAACTCAATTTTCGAAAAATTGCA